TTAAAAAACAGCAAGGTGAAATTTTATTTAAGAAAAGAATACCACATGTACAGGATACGATCAGTAAAAACACAAGAGGTACTGCTTGTTAAATGGGATCGCCAAAATTGACACAAATTAAAAGTTCCTTGCAGTAGCCTCGGTGGAGATTTGGACTTTTATACAGGTATTTCAAATATAAAACCTTATTCCTCAGAATAACCTTCATTGGGAAAAGGGAAAGAAAAATCTAGCAAATAATGAATATTTTAACTTTTAAAGTGCTGTTATAAGGACTTCTAACTGTTTATGTTACAAACAGACAAGAGAGTGTTTTGCATCCGTTTGCATCTGTTTTCCCATATCCACTCCTGAGCGTTTCTAGTCGAGTCGCTTGTTTACACATGTCCCTCGCAACAGGAAAATGTGTCTGTTTGCGTTCAAACATGCGGCCAATCCTGATAAATTCAGGAGGTTTTCAAGAGTTCTGTGCAAGTGTAAAAACACCAAAAGTCAAATTGAACATAAAGTGTGACTTGGCTGAGGGCAGTGATTTGTAGCAGTGCAGTGTAAAGCCAAGCCAGACCTGTAGTCCTGGTCAGGCCATAGCTTTTAAGAGAAAAAAAGGGCTTTTTGTCTGGATAAAATAAAAGCCTGCAGACAAAAACAACACACATGCGCACAGACATTTTAAGTAGGTCTGTGTTTGAAGCCATATGCCCACAAATGCATCCTGCCTCAATAAAACATGGTGCTTCATTGTTAATCTTTAATAGTTCTGTCCTGGAGAATTAACCCAGATGAACACACATTTAGGGCACCATCCCATCACTCAGACACACACACACACACACACACACACACACACACACACACACACACACACACACACACACAAACATTCCCTGCTATCCTCTTTCCTCTGCTCCCTATCTTAAACCACCTTCACTTGGACAATCATCCATCAGCATTCCTTCCTTTCTCCCTTCTTCTCTCTGACTGTCATCATTGCTTTCGCCATTTTTTTCCCTTTTATACTTTTAACCTATTAAACTTTTTAACATTTCCTCTTCCTATTCTCTCACAAAAAAGGATGGCCTAATAGAGAAAGTTGTATCCTGGGGAAAGATCATTAAGAAACAAGAATGACCAGGTGGAGGTTTGAACGAGGTTGTGTAAAAAAAGAAAAGCTGGTAAATAAAACATGATGGATAAAGAAGTGAAAGAAAAGAGGAGGAGCAGAAAGAGGACGTAGCGAAAGGACAAAGACACCCTGCCAAACGTGGCACCAAGCCATGAATCAGGGTGTAATTTGATAAATTATTTATGTTGCAATGCTTGCTGGGAGGTTTCACTTATGGCATTGCCTGTGTACTGAATGTGTATGTTATTGTGCATATGTCTGCATGTAAATTTGTGAAGTGGCTCAAAAATTCAAATTAGAAGGGTATTGCACAGATAAACTATGACTCTGATGGAATAGATCAAATCCTTGCAGCGCTCTGAAAAAGCATCACACTTATCAAACATGGCTAAATGATGTGTTCATTCAATTAAATCCAAATATGTACAACATGTGCAGGGAACATCAATACATCTCCGGTTAATGTCCCCTTAGAGGAGTAGTTACATAAACTCTAGTGAACTCATTCACCTTTCTATGAGTCTAAAATATGATATTTCAATATGCTCATTACTAGTCCTCTTTAACTATCCTCTTAACAAAAAAGTTTAAATATTGTTTTTTTTATTGTTATGATTTGTATTCACAAATTGTTCTTGTCTATCTACCCGTCTCTACCCTGCTTCTCCTGCAGTGGTCCCCTGTGCCGCTTACTGCAGCACTGTCTACCACTGAGTGGTCAGGCTCTGCCCCCTGCTGGCTGCATCTGAAAGCTATATACAGAACATCACCTTGTTGAGTTGTTGTCCAAAAAGAGGCCAATGTTGGTAAACACTCACAGCCACAGGTCGTCCTTTAGCCTCTGGCACTGTGCACCCTGTGATTTGAGCCACAAAACAAAGCAAATGTGCTCATTTAGTTACACAAAAATAGGACAAATCACAGATAAAACAATTAGCAATGGTTAACTCTGTCTGCGCTCAGCTGTGATTGTTTAGGATGAGATTATTGTATCATTAAAGACACTAAATATATAACAACCCTCAGGTCAGAAGCTGTTTTTTTTTCTTTCTTTTATAACACCTTTTTCTTCAACACTTCTCTACAAATTGTCCTTTTGTACCTTATTTTTACACAAGCCATTATTAAGTGTGTGTCTGCTGTAGTTGGATGTATCAGCAAAGGAGAAGGCTGAGTACAGGGCTGTGGTAGGGGAAAGACCAAAGACCAAGGAACTGGTTGTGGATCTGAGGAGGGCAAAAGCACTGGTGACCCCTGTCTCCATCCAGGGGGTCAGTGTGGACATTGTGTAGGACTACAAGTACCTGGGAATATATCTGGACAATAAACTGGACTGGTCCAAGCACACTGAGGATATTTACAAGAAGGGCCTAAGTCACCTCTACTTCCTGAGGAGGCTGAGATATTGATCACTATATTTAGAATTGACATGAATTGGTACTTTTCTTGCTTATCTTGTAAATATGCTAATATGTATGTGCTCTGTATTTGTATTATGTTATTTTACTATGTAAATCTTGATATAACTATGTAGATAAATATGTGTTATGTTTGCATTATAAGGTTTTCATTTGAGGCTGTGATCCATTTAAGTGTTTTTTTGTGACGATTGGTCATGTGACCATTTGTATTTAGTGCCCTGTGATTGTGCTGGGCGAACCTGAGGAAGCTACAGGCGGAACGCGTTGTTCACTCACAATAAGATATAGTAAAGTTATTTTCAGTGTGCCACAGACTTTTAATACTGTTGATTTATGACAGTCTTTCTGAATGAGCTTGTGATCATTTAGGCTAACTTTAAAGGCTCCACCAGCCAAACTCTTAAGGAGGGGCCGTCGTCATACAGCTCCTAAAAGTGTTCAAACTAAAACATTAATGAATTCAGTTTTTTTTTTTTTAACAGAACACTTCACTGACTCTGTTCTCATTACAGACACTAATCAACTTTATGATGTATGCTCCATCATTTCAGTACAACATGACATCCTTGTTTTGTGACTCTCTGATTGGTGATGCTAAATTGCCCGTATGTGAGTGTGAAAGTTTGTCTGTCTCTGTATGCCAGCACTGTGATTGACTGGCAGCCAGGGTGTACCCCGCCACTCGCCGAATGTCAGCTGGGTTCAGCTCCAGGCCTCCAGGACCCTGAACGGGACAAGCAGTATAGACAATGGTAGAATGGATGGAATCCAGCTTCTATTGGGATATTGCTTTTTGATTTTACACAGTTCTACAAACATTGTGGTAAAAATGCACAATATTTATAGAGTATTATGTTTTGTTTACTGGTCAATTCATTTTTTTTTTTAAATTTACACATTTAGTTTTAAAAATAGTAATACAAGATTATTTTGTGTACAGTAAGCACATTTCAGAATTGGCTAGACTCATCCATAAAACTTTCATATATGATATAAACTCTGTTGACTTTCTTTCATTTTATTGAATGCATATTATTTTTATTTGTTAAAAAAATGTTGGTGTCAGAACTTTTCTTGAGGTAGGCTAATACTGTTTTGTTTAGCTAGTTTCCATTTATTCTGACACAATGAAGGCTAAATGAAGGACTAGTCCTGATTTCTGTTTCCCCCCCCTCACCATAAGTTCTCCTCTAAAGGTCCTAGATCCTAAAGGTGAAGAAACAAATCTTTAAAGCTTTGGTCAAACCAAGCCTTTCAGACATGACGTCAAAGCTGTGTTATATCCTGTGGCTCTCTGGGTCACTCTATATTAACAGCAACTCATCTTTATAATTTAATACCATTTTGGACCCCGCAAGGAAGTTAAACATTTATATGCAACACTTGGACAAATCAAAAGTTTTTGACCATCATGGTAACATTTCCTTTAGTCATCCATGTTTCTTCGTACTATGGAATAAAGTGTTTCAACTCCATAAGATGGGTACAAAAATGTTTTCCATCTTTACAAGTTATTGTTCTGACCATTCAAATTTCCAATTGTTGATTTAAACTTAATTGTGTACTACTGGGCTAATTATATGATCAATATTCCACTTCATGATACTAATGATTTACTGGTATTACATTTCCAACAGTTCATTCAATTTAAAGTACTCTTTGAGCGTGCTTTGCAACTCTCAATCTAATAAATGATTATCCTACATAGAATGAAGACCTTATGGACTTCTGGCAGCGACTAGTTTGTTAATATAGGCCAATATTGATTGATTGATTGATTGATTGATTAAATTTATTTCAGACATATCAAATAAAATCAAACATATCAAAAATACAAAAAAAAAGAAAAAGAAAAGCATGAAAATGCAAAAAACAAAAAACAATGTTCAAATTATTTCACAAAAAAAAAGTAATATTGAATATTCCAAAGTAATATTGCATACATTCATCACCAGTCGGACTGCAATGGTAAATAGGATAGGATATGATAGTACTTTATTGATCCCCAGAGGGGAAATTCGGGCGTTACAGCAGCACAGACAAGAAAGCTCAAAAATACACATTAAACAGAATAGATAAGATAAATAAAAAATAAATAAATAAATAAGAATAAGAATAAGAATAAAAAAATAAATTAAAATAAAAAATTAAAATAAAAATAAATAATAAATAAATAAAAGGGGGTATATACAGTACAAAATGAATGATGAAGTTAACTGGGGGGAATTGAGAATTGAGAGAGTATTTGCAGAGAATGACAAGATAAAGTGACAAGTGAAATATATTAACTCACAGCCCCACAGTTTTGATTAAAAAAAAAAACCCAAATGCATTTTTAAATAGGTAAACCAGGATGACTCGACTGAAACAGAACAACAAACCTGAGATCTTGCTCGCTGTAGTCGCGGAGTTGAGCGAACGAGATCTCGCACCCTTCCAGCGGAGCTTTTTTTTTTTTTTCTCTCGCTGCACAACCAACTTGTCACCAAAGATGGCGATTTGCTGAGTGCTCATGGATACACACATTTCTCGGCTAGTTTGTTATCTTCACAGAAACGCCAACTTTTAAAACTAATTAACTGCGTTCGCGAGCGACTATTTTCGCCACTTGAAGCCAACCTGACACCACGTGAGCCACCGCCACCATGCAGATCACGCTTAAAACTCTGCAGCAGCAGACAATTCAAATTGAGATAGACCCCGAGAAAACGGTGAGTGGCTATTAGCTAAGTTGCTAACTTTAGCTCATAGTATAGCGGTGAGGCATCTGTCTTTACTTCACATTGAGACCGAGCAGTTGTGTTAGATATTTCTGATCTATACATAACTATCCAAGTAGTTTCTATCAAACACATCCTGCTAATAACAAACAATACCAGGAAGGAAAACTACACGAAACGGAAAACCTGACTAGCAAACGATAGCCAGGTGGCTAGCAGAACAAGCCTCGTTATCAAAGTCATTACGAAGCGTTTACGTGTTTGTGTTGGGTTCACTGCAGCTTGTGGTCTCCAGTGATATCTCAGGTGATTCAATGTGCAGTGCTATTACTTTTCGGATGAACACAAACTGCCCCAAAAAAGGCTGTGAATGCTACCGCTGCTTCTATTGCTAATGCTTATGACACTGCCAATTACCATTAGCCTGGTTGGTAATGTACCAAGAAGCTGGCTAAGTTTGTTAGCATGGTCACATTTGAACAGTCAGCTGGCAAGGCCAACGTGAAGTAAATAAGATAATATTCATCTTAAAGTGTTTTTGGATTGGATGCTGTGTGATATACTTATTCTGTTATAGTTCCTGAGTTGCATATATCAAATATCAAACTGTATTGTGGGCTCATGTTTTTTTTTGTATGGGTGGGATATGTATTTATATATTTGTTGTGTTGTGTGTGTGTGTGTGTGTATGCAGGCTGCTGGAACACCTACATTTCCCTGCTGGGATGAATAAAGTTTATCTTATCTTATACATTTATGTACCAACTCTTACTACTCCATGGCGTTTTCTGCTTTTCAATTCAATTCAATTTTATTTGTATAGCGTCAACTCATAACAAGTGTTATCTCAAGACACTTTACAAAAAGCAGGTAAAATACCTTACTCATTGTCTGTTAACATTACTTACTTATTGCTATGTTACAAAGATCCAGCCTATCCATCATGAGCACTTTAGCAAAGCAGCAAAAGTTACAGTGGTAAGAAAAAACTGCCTTATTAAAAGGCAGAAATCTTCGGCCGGATCCCCGGCTCATGACGAAACAGCCTTCACAGGCCTAGACTGCACCGGGTTTGGAAAGGGATAGGGGGAGAGATGGGATAAGATGCAGGAAGAGGGATAGGGAGCAAGGGGGTGGGGGGCAAACCGTCCATCAACAATCCGGTGCTTTGTATAAACACTGTCTTGCAATCATAACACATATATTTTAGAATATTAAGGTTCTGTGACTTTAATCTTGGTGATTAAAATGCCTTTCATCGTACTCGGTAAGGTTTGTAAATGCTTGGAAATAAAAGCGTTGTGAGACCAGTGTGAAGTGTTTGCATGTTGGTTGTTGTGGATTATGATTCATCTCTTCTTCATCAGGTGAAAGCCTTAAAAGAGAAGATAGAAACAGAAAGAGGAAAAGACAACTTTCCTGTGTCGGGGCAGAAGCTTATATATGCTGGAAAGATCCTGCAAGATGACACACCTATTAAGGAATACAAAATTGACGAGAAGAGTTTTGTTGTAGTGATGGTGTCAAAGGTGAGATCTGATCAACTTCTCTTAGTGTGTATAAACTACATCATTTTGTTTGGTTTAACTTTTAAAGCTTACATTTCTTAGCCAAGTTATTTTCAACATTTAATGAATTAATATTGTTGTGTTGTTTTACTATTAAGTAGCTCATCTAACAACAGCTTCTTTTTTTTTTAAATGACAAAAGGCTAAGCCAGCAGCTGCTGCCTCACCGCCAGTCTCAGAAGCCCCCAAGCCCCCCGTACAAGACTCTGGCTCCACGTCAACAGCTGCCCCAGCCACAACGCCAGTTTCAGCCCCAGTCCCTACTCCAGCAGCTGTCCCCATTCCCCCTGAGGAGGCCAAAGAGGAGCCAAGTGCCGCAGCCACAGAACAACAACCAGCCAGGTAGATGTTGTCTGTTATACGTTGTGTAATGCTATTAAATCTTTGGAAATACACAGGTGTGCTGGAAAGTAGTACTGGGGGAAATTCTCCTCATGACATGTTGATCACTGTTTATGAATGGAACTGGAACATTTCCTTGTCAATCAGAAAATGTCTCACCAATCTGACTGCTGAGAGGTTTGTTTTTTACCTACCAGGAACTATACAGAGCCACTATGACTAGTGATTTCCAATCCTTAAATAATTATGACTCATTTTAACTATTACATTGTGTAACTGCTGTCACTGAATGGTCTGTTTGACAAGATGCATTTTGAAGCTTGTAAAGGTGTTCAATTTAAAATGATCATAAATTCCTGGTTATGTCTAAAGGGCACACATATCTAGTTCCCTACCTTTTTATGATAGTTATACTTCCAGGGTTAAAAAAGTCTCATATTTCTAAAATCCAGTGTCATACCATTTTTTTTGTGTAAATGTTTGTGCTGAGCTGGTGTCAAGTTTTCACAGTGCATTTTTTAGAAGGTTGGATTTGGGCTGGGCAAACAAAACAATCTCAAAGGACTGACGCATTGACACTTTGGTGTGTAAACTTATGGATAGAGTAAACGGCCAGTAAGTCTGCAGTTTTTGCATGCAGGTCATTTACAGATAGGAGTACGCATCAGCTTCCCACTGCAGAGCCTCGTTGGACCTATTGATAAAGAAAGCAGATATCTTCTGTAAAAGACAGAACTCAACGAATGGAACTGAGGGCCACGAAAGTGACGGTTTACAATAACTCCAGAAACTGCTTTAATGATTAGGCTGAAACAAAAAGAACGCCTTAAAGATGCCTACAGTGTTGAGGATTCAGAGAAATTGTAACATCCATCTCCTTAACATAAAAAAAAAAACTATTTTTCAAAACAGTAATTAGAAAAAAAATATTTAGCGAACTGCACTGAATGTGTGGTGAATCTAAATTCAGTTGTCAACATTGTGTGATGTTTACTCTACCATGTCTCCTTACCTTTGTATCAGGAATGATGCAGAGCCTGTCTGATATGTTTCCTCTCCATCTTTATGTTTTGTGATTTCAGCAGTGGGAGTCAGGGCTTGGATGCCTCCTCAGCGCTGGGTAGGTTGCGGATGGCTTTCTTCCAGACTTTCATTTTATGCTGCACAAAATTCTTTGGATCCCATGCAGCTGCTATAGTCTCAGTGTAGTAGTTGGGCTGTTGTTTTATTATTGTGTCCCCTTTGAGTTAGTACCACAGCAGTGCCTTCTTGTGTTAAACTTAGGTTATACTATCTGTACCAGCTTGGGCTCTGCTCTGAGTCAGGAACTCTACACGCTGCATTGTGATACATACTGTTCCTATATTTAACCTCTGGCAAAAAGTAAGCCGTCCTTTATTATGGTATCACAGAAATCAATAGGCATTCCAGTTTTGTCCATTCATAGGTTATAAACATACTCAGAGAGAGAGAGAAGATGAGGGATCAGACTTATTTTGAAGCTTATACTTTCTTTTCTTTGTAGTTTTAATAGGAAGTGCCATCCCTAAGTTGTGATTTAAGACTTAGCTGCTTTCCTACAGTTCAATACAAAGCATACTAGACATGCCACATTTCTCACAGCAGGGTAGATTTAAAAAAAAAAAAAAAAAAAGATTTCATGTTCCTTGTTCCTTGTTGATCTTCAAGTGTAAAGGTGTAATAATAATAATAAAGTTTATAAGCACTTATCAAAACCAATGTCACAATGTTCTTTACAGGAAAAAAAAAACCAACCCAACAGTCAAATACACAACAATAAAATCCTATTAAAAAATCATGGAAAAGAAAACAACAGTGCAGCAATCATCCAATGAACAGAGAAAAGAGAAACAACCGAGACAAAGATTGGCTAAAGTTAACAGTAAAACAAATAAAACATCATGGATGAAACAAGGATTAGAAGAAGGCCTTACGATAAAAAAAATGTGTTTTTAAAAGACGATAGTGATGTAGCTAGTATCTACTCAAATACAAACTGTGTCGTAGTAGCCTTGTCATCTGTGTATGTGGGTGTGTGCTGTATTTTCAGTGACGGGAGCCGAATATGAGGTCATGCTGACAGAGATCATGTGTATGGGCTACGAAAGAGAGAGAGTGGTGGCTGCACTAAGGGCCAGTTTCAACAACCCCCACAGAGCGGTGGAGTACCTTCTTACTGTGAGTCACACACACACACACACATATATACAGAATAAAGACCTTCCTACCAATGGAAAAACACCCATGCTTAAAAAACATTCTTCCTGATAACAAAAGCTTAGCTACACTCTGATGGAAATAAATGCACTGCAAGGTGTTTTTTTTTTATATTTCAGTCCAACCCCCCATAAATAAAAATGATATGATTGACAACATTTTCATAATCCTCACGGGATAATTCAAAAATAGTTGTTGAATGGTTGGGCACTACTAACTAGAGTGTTAAAATGGTCCCTCAAAAGATCAATCCAACTCCGCCTGGAATACTACAAAAGCTGAACATTAGCACTTTCATGAAGGGCTTTTGCATAAGCCTGCTGTAGCTTTATCCTAATGCTTCTCAGAAATAGGAACCATAGAAATTCACTAAGGTGAGATTACAACAACAACGACAACGATTTGTGATTCAAAGTGAGTGTATCAAGTTATGTTAAAAACAAAAGTCTATGACCCTTTCACAGTTTTGCCATTTCCCCCGTTTCTCTGATGCATGCATGGACTGTCTGCTTGTTTGATTGACAATTGTGTTATTGTGTTTCCAGGGTATTCCCAGCAGCCCAGTCCAGGAGAGTAATCCCCCAGCACAAGCTCCCACATCTGGACCCACAGAAGCCCCATCTCTAGCAGAGGGTGAGGCACGCAACTCACTTGAGTCCAAAAAATATACCAAGTCAACACTAGTGTCTGTGCCACCCTACTGTATGAAAATAATACAGAGAAATGTAAAAAAAAAAAAAAAAAAAAAAACTGCCCAGGAAATTGCTTTCAGGTTTAATACAAATCAGAAAAGGTCCAAAATGTCGATTCATAGCCTCAACTAGCATGCATACTTTAGAGTGAACAGGTTGGTCAGGATTTTGAAGCTTAATTTAGTGAAGGCTGCTTCAATCATTTGTGTGTCACTGCTGATGGGCCTGGACCCATTTACAGAACATAAAGGGTTAATACATGCTGTAGCCTCACCAGCAGGCTGTGACTCATCCTATGACTCATTAGTCACTGAATGTTTTTCTACCATGCTATAATAACTTTGCTACATACAAGAGTGTGTGAGGAACTCGCACGTTACAAACCACTGACTTTTTGATCTGCCTTTCATCCCTGGCCCCTAAAGTGCTGTTTTGCAAATAATTTGAAGATAATTCAAATATTTTTTATCTGTGGTTTATGGTTTTTAATGGTGATTGTTCGTAGGAGAGAACCCACTTGCATTCCTGCGAACCCAGCCTCAGTTTTTGGACATGAGACAGGCCATCCAGCAGAACCCTGCTTTGCTCCCAGCTCTGCTCCAGCAGCTTGGCCGGGAGAATCCTCAGCTTCTACAGGTATCCCCGGTCCATACCAAAATACAAAGAACTACCCTTCTATTTAAGACTTTATATTATTTCCTTTAAAACTCACATGCCTTTCTTTCCTGCCTATACTTTCTTTTCTTTGTTTAATAGGAAGTGCCATCCCTAAGTTGTGATTTAAGACCTAGCTGCTTTCCTACAATACAAAGCATACTAGACAGGCCACATTTCTCACAGGAGGGTAGATTGAGAAAAATATTTAGATTATTTTATATTATTTCCTTTAAAAGTCTTTCTTTCCTGCTTATCTTGAGATTTCTAAAAAAAAAAAAAAAAAGACAGAAAATTTCACTAGATCCATAAGGTTAGATATATTTTGCTAATTATATCCATCAATCAGTTTTGATTTGGGGACCTTAAGGGTTTCTACTCCACATTCACAGAGGTCAGTTCACCATGGGCTCATGTGAAATGACGCGTAGGGCTTTTATTATTGATTGGTTAAAGAGCAGCATCATATGTTTACCTGACAACGCACTTCACGCTGTGTACATGCGCAAATTACAATTTACATTCTGAAACACTGTATATTGTGTGTCTGTGTCTCCTCCAGCAAATCAGTCAACATCAGGAGCTATTCATCCAGATGTTGAATGAGCCAGTGGGAGAGGGGGGTGATGCGCCAGAGGTTGGAGAGATGGGGGCAGCAGGGGAGGAGGGCGCACCTGTCAACTATATCCAGGTTACACCTCAAGAGAAGGAGGCCATAGAAAGGGTCAGTGACAAATGAAGACAAAATATAGGACATTTCTTTCCTTCTGTAGTTAAATCAGAGATACAAAGTTTAGATTCTGTCTGTATTAAAGCCTTCTGTGTAATCGTCCTCCTTGTCTCTCTGTCTGGACAGTTAAAAGCGTTGGGTTTTCCTGAGGCTCTGGTGATCCAGGCCTACTTCGCCTGCGAGAAGAACGAGAACCTGGCGGCAAACTTTCTCCTCAACCAGGGTCAGGAAGACGACTGAGCAGAAGAGATCACTGCCTTCCTGCTCTTCCCTCCTACACCTCCCCTCTTCAGCTCAGCATAAAGACTGCACCCCCAAATTACTGTACAGCCACCAACCTCAGCTCTACCCAACAAGAGGGGAGGAGAGGGGAGAGCCAGCAGGAGGGTGTGGGTGGGTGGGTGGGTAGGGGTGGGACTGGGTACGGGAGGAGGTGTGAGTTAGGTTGTGGTGAAGTTAAAAAGTACACAAAGTGGGGGTTGTGTGCAGGAAAGATCTGGAAGGGGGCGGGTGGGGGGGTGGGGAGTACAGGAGAATGATAAAATCCACGTGAATTCCAATGGAATGTGTGGGGTTTGTCTTTGGGAGATCTATACTTTGATTTTAGACGCGCTTTGTGAACATGAGGGAGGGGATGCAGGTGGGTGGGTGGGTGGGGGGTGGGGGTTTGTGACGATTGTGAGTGCTTGTGTCTGCGTGTGCGAATACATGTCTGGGTGCCTGTGCAGATGGATGCAAAAAGCACTAAGCTGAAAATTAATCAATCTGCATTCTCTAAGTTTGTTAATGCTGTAGCTGGATGGTTGGAAGAACATTGTCCTCACTGCACTGCAACAACATTTTCAGTGTGTGTAACTGCTTGTATGTACCTCTGTAAGAATCATGTACGTATGTCCAAGAATGAAATTGGCCGATAGACTGGACCATGCTGCCCCGTTATGTGTCTGACATGTTGCCTGGCTCCTTTAAGTCTGATTGAGGAAATATGGGAACCAAACTGACAGATCAATCTGATTATTTCGTTCACATTGTTCCATACTTTTCCCTCTACGGTGGTCGTACAGATTAAAACCAATCAGAGTTCCTGTGAAAGCATTTCCTGCCTTAAAGGGCACCTCAATGCGGTTTTGTCTATGCCAATAGCCTTTAGTGCTAATTAACACTACCCATACATACATCTACTGTACAACTGTAACACTTGATTTACTGTTATTATAATTATTTTTCAGATCATCCATCTGCTATTAAAAATATAGAAGCAAAAAGTACTCAATAAGAAGTAGTTACTCACAATTTATCAGAAAAAGTTGCTACATGCTTGGTAGCTTTGGGACCTTTAAGGCGCTACTAAAAAAAGAAAAGCAGATCCTTCCTCAAATTTTATAAATTAAACTAACTTTGTTTTCTAATCTGTAAAGAGAAGTATAGTTAAAGCTATTGGTAAGAAGTGACAACCGAGACAACAGTTTGAAAGACAAAGGTGCATCTTAAAGATGCAGTAAGAGACTACAAAGAAACAAAAGCTCTTCAAAGAGGCAGAAGAAAAGAATACAAAGGCACTAACAACTTCAAGAATGGAAAACTGACTACAAAACTGCTTTAAAGAGAAATAAGATGCAGCGCTTCTTCTTCGCATTTTATGCTCTTTCATTGTTTTGTTCCAGGGAAGGAGGGATGGGGCCTTTTCATTAGAATCCCAAATAGCAGCCAATCAATAATATAGTTTCACTTTAGACCATTTACTTTATAAGTCTTTAATTTTAACTGTTGAAGAATATACAACTACACAATAAACTTCTTGGCAAGGGCTTTGAAGGTCAGTCATATCTCATTTTTTTAGTTGCTTTGCTAAAGTCCCCCCCCCTTTACCAGGTCAAACATGCTGTCATACCTGTGTTTTTGCATCTATGGTTTGAATCAATCAATCAATTTTTATTTGTACAGGGTCAACTCATAACAAGTGTTATCTCGAGACACTTTACAAAAGAGCAGGTAAAAAGACCTTATTGCTATATTACAAAGACCCGGTCTATCCATCATGAGCACTTTAGCAAAGCAGCAAAAGTTACAGTGGTAAGAAACTACAAATCCAGGGAAACGCAGACGGTGTACATAAAGGCTGCATCATGCATTTTGAGGTGCAGTTACACTCGGAACAGCTTGAGAGTGAATGTTTTTTTTCTGCAAGGAGCTAATCTAATCTTTCACCATCACACTGTATGTCCTGATGGGCCACTGTCCACTACATAATGCGGTATAATGAAGCTTATTGATATATTTACTGGCCTGGTTGTGGTGTGTGAGGTGGGGATGTGTTGCAACTGTTGGTTTTGACTGAAAAGGTTCTCCATAAACAAAAACTTAAAATGAAAAAAAAGATGTGTTCGTCTCATTCTGTGAAGTTTTTACAGCAGAAACATAATATTAAACTATCCACTGCGTTATTAAATATCGGAAGCATTCTTGAGACCTTTGACAATTTGTGCCTCAATAGCAGTAGCATAATTTATTATAAGAGGTCTGACTGTACAAACTATACAATCAGGGCATTGTGAGTGGCCCTCTTGTGGGTTAATCCAAAATTACAATCCCAGCATGCAATGGATAAAAAGCATTGAATTACTCTGACCTTTACTCTTGGTACACTTGTGCCAGCTAGTTTTTTTTAAATTGTATTTAATGGCTGTTTCGGTCTTTATTTGATAGTGAAAGCTGAAGAGAGACAGAAAGGCAATGTGGAAAGAGAGATCAAGGGATGACATGATGACCAAATGATGTCAGTCAGGAGTTGAACCAGCAATCTCTGTTGACGGAGTGCCTGCTCTATCATTTGAGTAAAACCAGCAGCCTGATTTTTCAGTATCTTAATTTACATGTTGAGGTTTGGACTTTACACAATCTGTCAATACAGTTATACATTGAAATCATAATGCCTCACAGCTGTGTCAGTAATGTGGTAAACAATCTAACCTCTATTCCCTATGAAGCAGCTTCTAATCGACTATCAAATGTAGCTACTGGGATATTGAATTTAACAATTAACATGCTCATGAATCTGAATCTAATGTAAGATGAAGTCTAACTTTTAATTTTTTTACCGTGCTCCTTTTCCCACTTGTGACACATCTCTCCATACTTACTGTTCATTTACTTGTTTCAAGCTTGACAAAAGTTTTGACACAGACGCACAATGATCTCAGTAGTTTGTTGACAGTAAATGGGTGTGTATTCAAACATCCAGCAGATGTTACAACATGGGGCTGCATTAGCTCTGTCTGTAGGGAACTAGGTTGGGAACCAGAATATTCCTGATATAAAGCTAGTTCAGGCTCAGAACACAACTCACTCAATGTAAACATATCTCAATTCACTTTTCATTTTACTTCAAAAGAAAAAAAAAAAAAAGCTTTACACACCGTGACTACATGATTCATGTTATCCATCTGTTTGTTCCATTCTTATAAAGCAGGAAATGCACAGGGACACAGGGACCCCCTTAACGCCCTTGTTAGAGAGCAGTACAGGGGCTCAAAGTTCAGGGGCTCCGTGGTGGGACTGAACATTTGTGTACAAAAATGTTTGACCCCAAAAAGCGATTAATCGACTTAACTGTGACATCATGATGTACAGGAAAAAAATACATTTACAAGCCATTATTTCCCGGTGGTTTTAAACATAATATCTCATTAACACTTCGAGGGTAAATCTTGAAAATTGCGTGATCTGCTTGGACTTTATGGTAAAATCGTAAATTTGTATCCATTCCAACGCAGTAAACACAACGGCATTCTCTAGAGAGAAATGTATTACATCTTTTTTTTTACTTTCCTGAGTATAACCTCATCCATGATTGGTGGACAATCTCCCTCTGATCATCCCCTCAGTTACCTGTTTGAGAATGGTCCACTGACATCACATCATGCTCTGCAGAGAAACAGAGAGAATTGTGGTTTGGTGTAATATCCCCCCCTGGTAGATGATAGTGGTGTGACCTGAACTGTTTAATGAGGTCCTGCTTATGTCATCAGGTTTCAAGTGTAATATATTCTTTATTTGGGTGAACAAATACATCCCACACATTTTATCTAGTTTGTAGAGTTTGTAGAAAGTGGTAACTCTAATTTGTAATCTTGTGGAGACAAACTGGTTTGGTCTTCATATCCTGTTTCCTACTACAAGTCCCCTCATTTATAAAAATAATGATAAGCAACCTGTCCAGGTATACAAACACTGTCCTAGTCTGTTCAACCAGCTGCAGCAATGAAATGCTGCTTAAACATTATGATGCATCTCATGTTAAAGTATCACATCTCATAGCAGCGTTTTAATGCAAATGAAAAGGTCTAACTCGTGTGTATTTGGGGGACTTTCACGTTGTGCTGTTGCTATTTTAAACATGATTACCTGTCCCAACCTTGACCATGAACCTGTTTGATTGACAGCTGCTGTAATGACACAGTAATAATCACAGTAAAGAGGCATGATACAGTCAAGAACATCCTTTTATTCAAACAAGTAAAGGGGTTGCTCGTTTCAAACTGTTTTTTATTATTATTATGGAAAAGAAACTGTAATTAACACATGCATTTCACCATGGGCTCTGGGGAGAAGGGGGGGGGGGGATGGGGGTTGTCTGAGGATGGGACACTGCTCCGAGGGAGGAAGAAGAGGAGGAGGAGGAGGAAGAGAACTCATGGCAGGAGGAGTTAAGAGGACTGAGGCGAGGGGATAAGCTGGCCAGGGGGCTCAGTCTACATGTCACTACACACGGCCCAGCTTCCTACCAAATATGTTCAAAAAGAAACTAAAGAAAAAAATGAAAAGGCGGACGGTTTTGCCACCGGACTGGGCTCTTTGAACGGTGCAGGGCCGCCACACACAGACACACACACACACTCTGCTCCCTGCAACCCGTTCGTCTCTGCTATGGCTGCTAATCTGTGCTGCATTCACTTGTCACGGTTTGATCGATAATACTGCTGCTGGCTTGAAGAAACTACAATTGTATGCAAATAGTTTTTCTCAGGCCAAAAATCTATATTTGTTGGTTTTGGAACATCTTGTAGAACCACATCACAATGGTCAAAGTGTCTTTTTCAAACAGTGTTTATTCAAATAACGATGATTTCATGTGTGACATCTCTTTATGTCTGTGCTAAGTCTGAGCCCTTCAGTCCTCAAAGTGGGGAACCAGTCCGCTTATAAGGTGCTTGAGTCATTTTCAGTTTTTTTTTTTTATATAGCAGGTCGCGTTCAACCACTAGAAAGGTGCATAATTGACTGTCTCAATGCAGCATTTTTTTGCTGCCTAAGATACGCAGTAACAATGACCAAAATAAAAAAAAAAAGAATTAAAAAGCAAATCCAAATTCAATTATAAAAAATAAATAGA